GCGACGCGACGCGAGCGCACAAAAGGGGCAGCCGATATTAAACCGACGGAGAAACAAAGGCGCGGCTTCCATCTCGCGTGGGGAAGCGGAGAACGCCGAGCCGGTTCCCTCGGGAGAGGATTACCGGGGCCCACGAGCCGGGGATTACTCGTATGGGGTGGTTAACGGAACACGGAGCTGATTGAGAACATCCCTAATACGCCGCGACAGATTCCATCCGGCCGTGTGCGGCTATAGGCTCTCTGTCCTCCCTCTTTCAATCCGCGACCTCTCTCCTTCTATCCAGCTTGCCAACCGTAGCGATGCAATCGAACAACCATCGGCCATCCGCAGACCTCGCATTTTCTTTCCGGTACCCCCGGTAAGCCGATATGATTTTTTTTTTAGCCGTTGAACAGCCCCCTTTTATATACGGTTACTGTATTGGGTTCACGTAGAGGGTTTTCTCGATACGTACGTCTCTTGACGTGCAATTAAGCAGAACGAGAAGGCAGATACTTTTATGGTTTTATTTCTTTTCATGATGGAATTCTATGTATCTACAAGTGTATAATTGTTGAAAACAAAAATGTTGAAAAACGATATATCTATTAATTTTGGTATTTAATTGCTAGGTATTTGGTATTAATTAGTAGCAAAATACTTTAATTACATGGCTAATGTATACTTTTATCAAAAGTTTCACTCGAAAGTTTAATTATAATTACTTATTCTTTATATTAATTTATTTGAGCGAACAGAGGCTGAAGAATAAAATTTTGAGCGAATTTCTACTCAAGAATTTTAATCAAAAGTTGCGTTTCACTGGAAATTCTAATTATGATTAATTCTTCGTTATATTAATTTATTTGAGCGAATAGAGACAGAAAAATAAAATTTTGAGCGAGTTCTTACTTTAATGCACACTAGATTTCTGAGATATCAAGATTTTTATCAAAAGTTGTATCTCACTGTAAATTCTAATCAAAGTTAATTTTTCATTATATTAATTTATTTGAGCGAACAGAGACAGAAAAATAAAATTTTGAGCGAGTTCTTACTTTAATGCACACTAAATTAACGTTCTGAGATATCAAGATTTTGATCAAAAGTTGTATTTCACTGTAAATTCTAATCAAAGATAATTTTTCGTTATATTAATTTATTTGAGCGAACACAGGCTGAAGAGTAAAGTTTTGAGCGAATTTCTACTCAAGAATTTTAATCAAAAGTTCTGTTTCACTGGAAATTCTAATTATGATTAATTCTTCGTTATATTAATTTATTTGAGCGAATAGAGACAGAAAAATAAAATTTTGAGCGAGTTCTTACTTTAATGCACACTAGATTTCTGAGATATCAAGATTTTTATCAAAAGTTGTATTTCACTGTAAATTCTAATCAAAGATAATTTTTCGTTATATTAATTTATTTGAGCGAACACAGGCTGAAGAGTAAAGTTTTGAGCGAATTTCTACTCAAGAATTTTAATCAAAAGTTGTCTTTCACTGTAAATTCTAATCAAAGATAATTCTTCGTTATATTAATTTATTTGAGCGAACAGAGGCTGAAGAATAAAATTTTGAGCGAGCTCCTACTCAAAAACTTTAATCAAAAGTTGTCCTTCACTGGAAATTTTAATCAAAGTTAATTCTTCGTTATATTAATGTATTTGAGCAAACAGAGACAGAAAAATAAAATTTTGAGGGAATTTCTACTCACCAGCGATGGTATTCAAAAACATGAGATACTCAAAGTTGGATATTTCTCTTCGCTGCCACTTTTGCGTCATATTGGAGCTTCTCATTAGCTGTCGTGGCGACATCATCGATGCTCTCCTGCAAAAACAGCACGAATTCCAATCACGTAGTCCTGTTAGAAAACTCGTCAATCAAAATGTCGAACGTTACACGTAATATTATTAACAATATAAAGTTGCCTTAATATGAAATATATATCTATAATCAAACGACCGGTTTAAAAAATTTGATCTAAGATTCTGCATTTAACTCTCGTTGGAAACCATGAAAATATATAATTTTCTTCTTATAATCTAAAAGTTATGTTTATAAGTTGTATTGTCTCTTATATTAAATTGATAATTACCGGTGTTCCTTT